TGCATCATGTCAGAGCCAAGCCAATGATCCTGCACTTGCTGGCCAAGTGGTAAAGTGTTTTAAAAAATGTGATTATTTGGGGTCAAGGGTAAATTAAACTCATCGGGTTATATTTCCAATCAGGCAAAAGCCTTTCAAATCGGCTATTGTTAATTACATTTGCTCCAGTGGTTTAGGACCAATACCAAAGTCAAAGAGCCACCACATCCACACAAACAATCGCTCGAACGCACGTGTCTTGGCGATTCTGAACTTGCGGTGGAAATTCCGCATTGCTGTGCCAGGGACCATTCGTCAAAAGGTCACCCACGGTTGACCTCCCACAAAAGCAGTTATCATTTTATGAACCCCAAAGGACTGAGTTGACGCGTTCTGCCACAGCGGCACTCAGCCCATTGCTGGGATTTTTCAGAGAAAGGTAATTTAGACTCAGCCTCACACTTTAAAAACGTATTGTGAAAAGCAGTTTCGCAAAGTGAAAATTTGCTCTCTCAAAATTGCAAAATCTTGACCTGGCATACCTCAGCAGAGTAAACGGAGGCGCACCGACAGGCATGGCACAAACAATCAATTGAAGCTGCCGTTAATATTAAAGTGACTCCGCTACATGATCCAACAACATTACCAATCCGCGTTTGTCTAGAAATATGTATCGATACGTGTCCGATTGGCTCGTATTGGTACACTGTTACCGAGGCTTTATGCAAAGGTGTATCCGTGGAGACGAGCAAGACACGGAGGAAGGCAGGTAGGGACATTGCACAGTGGATCAAAAGCCAGGTTTGGGCGACTCGCTCTGCGCATTACTCCCACTTGCAGCGAGATTTAAAATATCTATTTAGGAAAAGATAACCGTGCAGAGCCCCAAAATGCCTTTAGGGGCCACCTATAAGGGCATCTGCAGTGAGCGGAGATGTTTGAGGCTATTAGGGCACAGACAGGAATAGGTGCAGGAGGTAGACCAGTGAAAATGCCTCTGTATATCTTGTATGGGTACATTAAAACACACACAAGATGATAAACAGGCAAAATACAATAACAAAATTGAGGGAAAGTGATTTCGCGGTAATCGTCATATCTTGGAAATTCACCATCGTGTCATATCATGATGCATGTAGAAGGATAGTAATAAATAATTATTATTATACATTCTAGGGAACGGGCAGGGAGACGATGGGTATGGAGCACCACGGTGACGAGATGTTAACTACCTCGCCTTTTATACGAGCACGTGGGTTCGATCCCGACCCTGATGTCTGTATATTTGTAGTTTAAATCTTCTCCACGTGGTCGCGTAGATTTTTCTCCAGATCCTCTGGTTTTCCCCTCCACATTTAGAAACATGCGTTTAGAATTTTTTGCTGCTGTAAACAAAAATGTCCACGTGATAAGCCACTTCGTTGAGCTGTTATTTGTGGCCAGGTCGCTTCTAAAAAGAATTGCAATATGGCTCAGTGGGCCTTACCTGTTCAAATAAAAAATAGTTAACTTCAGTTTATGGTGACACATGCCATATGATCAGTGCTTTGGAGGAATGGTTTATTGGATCATAATATTGAATAACATTAATATGTATCCCTCTCAATAAATCCCACTGCTGGATATAGGCCTCCATGAGCTGTCTCAGTCATGGGAGTTTTCAAGTTTCATTTATTAGGTATAGCCCTGTGAGCCATGCGGCTCTTAAGTCGGGTGCAACCACAACAAACAAAATTTGAACACAGAACATCTTAAAGCGACAACGCGCAACAGAAACATCTTGGAATAAACCAGCAAATATTCCCCACAAAAAAACTTATTAAAACGCTGTGCAAAAATCACAATGTGGTGCAAGGCAACGACAACAACAACCATAAGACAATTTAGATTAACCATATGTTTTCGAATCACCAAAATAAAGCTACCCATAGACTAATTTTACATAACACGTACGACAAAAAAACTGCAGCCATAGCTGGCAGCACGACACTCCCAGTGTATGATGTGTGAGTGAGTCAGCAGCAGCGTGAGTGAGTGTATGATGTGTGAGTCAGCGCACGATGTGTTAGTCAGCGCATGATGTGCGAGTCAGTGTATGATGTGTGCGCGAGTCAGCGGCAGTGTGAGTGAGTGTATGATGTGCGAGTGAGCCAGCACAAGATGAGCGAACCTGTGTATGATGAGTGAATGGGTCAGTGTTTGTGCGAGTGTATGATGTGTGAGTGAGTAAGCGCATGATGAGCGAGTCAGTGTATGATGTGTGAGTGAGTCAGTGCATGATGTGTGAGTGAGTCAGTGTATGGTGTGAGTGAGTCAGTGTATGATGTGTGAGTGAGTCAGTGCATGGTGTGAGTGAGTCAGTGCATGGTGTGAGTGAGTCAGTGTATGATGTGTAAGTGAGTCAGTGCATGGTGTGAGTGAGTCAGTGTATGATGTTTGAGGGAGTCAGTGCATGTGTGAGTGAGTCAGTGTATGATGTGTGAGTGAGTCAGTGCATGGTGTGAGTGAGTCAGTGTATGATGTGTGAGTGAGTCAGTGTATGATGTGAGTGAGTCAGTGTATGATGTGTGAGTGAGTCAGTGTATGATGTGAGTGAGTCAGTGTATGATGTGTGAGTGAGTCAGTGCATGGTGTGAGTGAGTCAGTGTATGATGTTTGAGGGAATCAGTGCATGGTGTGAGTGGGTCAGTGTATGAAGTGTGAGTGAGTCAGTGCATGGTGTGAGTGAGTCAGTGTATGATGTTTGAGGGAGTCAGTGCATGGTGTGAGTGAGCCAGTGTATGAAGTGTGAGTGAGTCAGTGCATGGTGTGAGTGAGTCAGTGTATGATGTGTGAGTGAGTCAGTGCATGGTGTGAGTGAGTCAGTGTATGATGTTTGAGGGAGTCAGTGCATGGTGTGAGTGAGTCAGTGTATGAAGTGTGAGTCAGTGCATGGTGTGAGTGAGTCAGTGTATGATGTGTGAGTGAGTCAGTGTATGATGTGTGAGTGAGTCAGTGTATGATGTGTGAGTGAGTCAGTGTATGGTGTGTGAGGGAGTCAGTGCATGGTGTGAGTGAGTCAGTGTATGAAGTGTGAGTGAGTCAGTGCATGGTGTGAGTGAGTCAGTGTATGTTGTGTGAGTGAGTCAGTGTATGATGTGTGAGTGAGTCAGTGCATGGTGTGAGTGAGTCAGTGTATGAAGTGTTAGTGAGTCAGTGCATGGTGTGAGTGAGTCAGTGTATGAAGTGTGAGTGAGTCAGTGCATGGTGTGAGTGAGTCAGTGTATGATGTGTGAGTGAGTCAGTGTATGATGTGAGTGAGTCAGTGCATGGTGTGGGTGAGTCAGTGTATGATGTGTGAGTGAGTCAGTGCATGGTGTGAGTGAGTCACTGCATGGTGTGAGTGAGTCAGTGTATGAAGTGTGAGTGAGTCAGTGTGTTATGTGAGTGAGTCAGTGTATGAAGTGTGGGTGAGTCAGTGTGTTATGTGAGTGAGTCAGTGCATGATGTGTGAGTGAGTCAGTGTATGATGTGTGAGAAAGTCAGTGTCGGCTCCCTCTGCTCGTGCCATCGCCCCCTCCCCCGGCTCCGTCCCCCCCCCCTCTGGCTCCGTCGCCCCCCCCGGCTCCGTCGGCCCCCCCTGGCTCCGTCGGCCCCCCCCCGGCTCCGTCGCCCCCCCCCCCCCGGCTCCGTAGCCCCCCCTGGCTCCGTCGCCCCCCCCCAAGATCCGTCGGCCTCCCCCCGGCTCCGTCGGCCCCCCCCGGCCCCCCCGGCTCCGTCGGCCCCCTCGGCTCCATCGGCTCCCTCCGTCGGCTCCCCCGGCCCCCGCCAGCCGCTGCTGGGAGCGCCCGGGGAGCACGCCTCAGGCGGCCATCTTGCCAGACACACCTCACCGTGCTGGTCAATGTAGATCGCTGAACTGGGGGAAGAAAGACGACCGCTTTTAGCTATCGATCACCACCGATGTTAGCAGTGACTGGGAATCGAACTCGGGTCGTTGGGAATTCGTGGTGCAGTGCAGTGCAGTGCGCTAATTACTGCACCAACATTGTGCATTCATTAAGATGTATTTATAAACATTGATAGATGGTGGCCTATGTGCAGTAGTAGAGCAGGTGGGTTACTTACCTTACTGTACAACATCTTGAACATGAGGCTTTTGTATATGTGTGATTCTCTGGGCACTGTATATTCTTCCAAGATTCGAAATATTCACGAAGGAACTGGACAAATGTATATATGCAGGCCCTTCCCAAAAACAACCCTTGAGAAATCATGCTTTTGTGTTGGAATAAAATATGACATTACAATACATGTATAACAGGTAAGTTTCACTCCCTGACAAAGAGAGGTTAAACAGAACCCAGCATTTACTTTTAACATTCACGGCACTTGCTCTTTTATTGGGGTCGCAATTATTGAAAATGTGCTTACGCATGTACAGATATTACGTGCCCGAGTGATAACGATTGAGCCTTCATGTATAATGCTGATAATTCAGACCGTGGCATTCGCATCAATTAATTGAACATCGCTTTACACGTAGGCAGGCATGATGTCAAACAGATTCCACTTTTGTAAGTGGGGCTTTTTTATTTCATTATATGGAGCACAGAGATCCACAAAGTACGGGAGGGGGTACAAAGTCCCTAACTCCGTTGCTCCAGAACTTCCGGGAGGGAAGAGATCGGGCTCGCCGCTGCCACCACTCCAAATGGGTACCACGACCGGGGTGTTTGTACTTTCATGTGGGAAAGGGGAAGGTAGGGGAAGAGGAGCTGAATAAGGGAGTAGAGATAGTGGGGGTGCGAGAGGGGAGGGGGGATGGGAAGGTGGGGGGGGGGATGGAAAAAGGGAAGGGAAGAGCGTCTAGGAAGGATTGAAAGTGAGTATTAATGTTTCTGCGGGTCGCGGCACCCTACCGGCTTGTCCGATAACGATCACAAGCACGAGCGCGAGCGAGCGCACGCGAATTCTGGCCGTGTCGAGTGACCCCCCCCCCCCCCCCCCCCCCCCGGCGGTGCGCCGTTTTTGCCTTGCAGTACGTGGCGCTGGCCTCCCTCCTGTTCATCCTCATCTCCATCACCACCTTCTGCCTGGAGACTCACGAGCACTTCATCCTGAAGGTCAACCGAACGGAGTTCATCAAGCAGGGCAACGCGACGGTGGCCGTCATCGTCAAGGAGGCCATCACCGAGCCGGCGCTCATGTACGTCGAGGGCGCGTGCGTGCTGTGGTTCACCTTCGAGTTCTTCATGCGTGTCTCCTTCTGCCCGGACAAGAAGGAGTTCATGAGGAGCATCCTCAACATCATTGACTTCGTGGCCATCCTGCCCTTCTACCTCGAGGTAGGGCTCAGCGGACTCTCGTCCAAGGCCTCCAAGGACGTGCTGGGCTTCCTGCGCGTCGTCCGCTTTGTGCGCATCCTGCGCATCTTCAAGCTGACGCGCCACGTCGTGGGCCTGCGCGTGCTGGGCCACACGCTGAGCGCCAGCACCAACGAGTTCCTGCTGCTCATCATCTTCCTGGCGCTGGGCGTGCTCATCTTCGCCACCATGATCTTCTATGCAGAGCGGCTGGGCACCAAGGAGGAGGACATCAAGAACAACCACTTCTCCAGCATCCCCATCGGCTTCTGGTGGGCCGTGGTCACCATGACCACGCTGGGCTACGGGGACATGTACCCACAGACGTGGTCGGGCCGCCTCGTCGGCGCCATGTGCGCCATCGCCGGCGTGCTCACCATCGCCATGCCCGTGCCCGTGATCGTCAACAACTTCGGCATGTACTATTCGCTGGCCATGGCCAAGCAGAAGCTGCCCAAGAAGAAGAACAAACACATCCCGCGCTCGGCGCAGATCGCCGCGGCGGCCGCGGCGGCCGCGGCGGCCGCGGCGGCGGCGGCCGCCCCCGCCTCCGGCGCGTCCCCAAACTACTGCAAGTCGGACCTCAACTCGCCGCGGCCGAGTACGCATGGGGACAAGTGCCCCCTCGCCGAGGACGAGACCAACGAGATGAACAACCCAGGTGAGAGAGACAGAGAGTGAGTGAGTGAGCGTCAGGTGCCTTTGGCTGCCGTTGTCCATTGCAATCTCACCCTGGTCCCTAACCCTGACCCCCCCCCCCCACCCACCGCGCCCCCCCACTCCAGCGACCGTGGCTGGCTGCCGACACGCCGCCGTCGGCCTCCCCTCGATGAGAGGTTGCTCGTTCTCTTCTGCTGCTCCTGATGTCTGGAACTCCCACCCCTCTGGTTGTCTGTTCTGCCGATTGCGAAATTCCGTCTCCATGTTCGAATCCGTTTTGCTTCAGACCTTCCTATTCTTCTCTGCCTGTGCTTTCACGTGAGTTGTGGGCCTCTTCGCCAAGCCACTCCTCTACCCAATCATAACTGCCACCCTCGCATTCCCCTGCTTGTAAAGCATCTTGAGAGACATTATTATGTAGATGCTACAGAATTGGAAATTGTATAACATAATGAGGTATCGAGCATGCGACTTCGGCTAAATAAACTAAACTATTTTTTTCATATATATACTACCACTGAGATATTTAGCTTTTTTTCAGGAGAGACCTGGCCACAAATGATATCTCAACGAAGTCACAACACGTGGAAATTTACAGCAGCCAAATACTCTAAATGCGTGATTCTAAATGTGGAGAGGAAAAACCGGAGGACCTGGAGAAAAATCCACACGACCACGGGGGAGAGAGACACCGCAAACTCCAGGGTCTGGATTGACCCCACGACCTCCTGTAAAGCAGGAGAGCCAATTAACATCTCGCCACCCATAAAGCCACATCACTCGAATGAACTACAATGTAAACACATCCTAGAAAATATATTCTAACTGGAGGCGAGATTCCTTGAAGGTTTATATATATAAAAATCTCCCCTCCCCCCTCACCTCGATACAACCTGCTTCACTTCGAATTGTATAAGGCTATCCCAGACATCGATACCGCGATGGTTGTTAATTGTGAGCACACCGGACTTGCAATGCAAAGGTCGCCAGTCCGATTCGATCTCCCGTCTCGCCAGTTGAAACAACGGTGCAAAGCTTCTTAAATCCCCAACACCAACACCACTGCTGTCCACCCAGCAGTGCCAATGGGTCCAGACCGCCGCAAGTTGACGATAGTCAGCTCCGCGTGGTGGTGCGCTAAAGCGTGGCCATTCCCTATTCTTCCAAGATGTCTAACCAGCGTGGAAGAAGGGGCCAACATTTTTTTTGGAGGGGCTCTCTTGAGCTGCCTCCAAGTAGTTGCAGGGCTGCACCTTTGCCTTTCTGCCGGGAGAGAAATAAATCCCCTCCCTGGCCCTCAATCCAGCCAGACGACGCCACTTTGACATATTCATCACCATCGACATCATTCGAAACTTGACTGCTGCACGTGTGCCGCTTCGGGTTTCTGGATGGGCAGAAGTAAGCAAAAGTGGTCACTGCGGGTTAGGTATGGGCTTGCACGGTGGACGGTTTAACGCCTCGAATCCAAACTCTGGTGCGATGCCAGCCTGGGGCCATGTCAAATATTGTGGACTCGAGCTTTGGCTGCGAAGGAGCAAGGCATCATAAAGCCGACTTCCCATGCCCATGTGTTTCAGTCGGCGAGAGGCAGCACAACCCCCTTGCCCTTTGCAGGAATGAACAGCAGGCACGTCACACCCCGGTCACAACTCGGCCCATCTGCCTGGCTCCTTCTTCTTCACACAATCACTGGTTTTCTCGTGCCCCTCGTAAGGCACTACACATAGGAATACCGTACACAAACGTAGTGATGTGCCCGGATAACATGAATGTGGAATAGTGCGGAATAATGTGAACATGAAACCTCAGCAGCAGCAGAGACTAACAGGGAAGCCCATTGCATGGCTTACTCCTAACTCAGCAGGCCATTACACAATTCCCTCCCACTCTGCTTCTTACTTTGCCTATTTTCCCCTCTCACTTCACCAAAATCTCCACACGCTCTTCTCGTGATGCACGTATGTACATTGAACTTCTTTCGCAACGTACTTCACCCAACCGTGCTAATCGGAGGTACGGGGGCAGGACAACTAACTAAACACAAAAAGCAGTTCTCAAGATAACACATCTACCTTGTCACCAGCTCTGTTTTTAGATGCAACACAATCCCCCCTCTGTCCCAATTTGCGATGAGAACTCGCTCATCTCTCGCAGTGCAGTACAACCCTTCATGCCAGAGAACGGCCCACGGAAGTGGATAACGCAAAGCTACCTCTGAGGACCCTTCAAGTAACCGTTCGGTCCACATGTTAGAGGGCAGCACTCTTCCACCCACTCTGCATAATGTTTGTTACCTGACAGTTAAAATTTATATTCCATTTCTCAGAGCTGGAACCTGGCCAAATTAAGTGCAGAATAAAATTTAATGTGATTGGGTTTTTTATGTGTGTAGTGATTGGTGACTGGGCTGAGACCATCGTCTCACTACACTTGAGAACCCAGTTCCGTCACAGGATATGAACCCCACGGTCTCGGCGGTGCCGGCTCAGCACTGTGACCTCTCTGACCTCTGAGTCACTTGGCCACCTCCCCCATTGTAATCTGATATTGAATCACTTCTCACACATATGATGAAGATTTTAGTCCATCTTTATTATTTCAAGCTTCTCATTCTGTCGGGGGCCAAATTTTGCCCGAATTCTTTAAATGATCCGCATATAACTCAAATGGGTTTATTACATTGCAATCTACACTCCCACTGGCAGACTCATGCCCACTCATAGGCCAGGTGCTGACTCACCCTGTCCCACACAGGGATAGGTGCCTCTGGGGGTGCCCTTTCAAATTCTTGAGAGGAGATATGATGGAATGTGCTGAGACGTCCCGGTGTATAGGAGGGTGCTTTATCAATAATACATCATTATTGTCATCATCATCATTATTATTTTTTACTTCATTACATTTGCATCCTAAAATGAGATGGCACAAAAGTGCCTCAAAAACCCAAACTGTTGCATTTCATTTACATTTTAAATCGTTCCTTTGGTCTGGATGAGATATAGGCCTCAAACTAGTCGCCCTCTCGTAATTACTTAACTCATAACAACTTCCACCAGGGACCAGAGCTATGGTTACATGCGGCAGAAGCGAGAAGCCAAAACGACGCTTCCTTTCCTGCAATTGGAGCGTTGTTCAGATGCAGTAAATATTTTGCTAAAATTACAATTTCGATTTGCATGGCATCTAACTTTGACCACACCTCGCGATGTCGTACAGGCACAGTGGGGCAATATTCCATCGACAGAGGGAGTCAAGTGTAGGCAGTTAAAAATGAATCTCTTGCGCCTGGACTTGAACAGGGCCAGGGAGTCGACAGCACGGATGGCTGGGATAAGGGTGTTCCAGATCACGGGAGGAGTAGTAGGGGAGAGAGACTGACGTCCCACCGAGCGAAGGTTGATTGAGGCTTCGAAAGAAGATGGCCTTGGTTGTAGCAGCAGGGAACGTGTGGAGGACCTTGAAGATAGTGAGTGTGTGCTCTTGAAATTAATCGGGCATTGACTTGGGAGACAGTAGAGCGATCTTTCCCATAAACCCTAGCACCCAAAGTGTAATGGTTATGAATATGGCAGTTTTGATTTATTTGTTCAGGAACACCTCAATGGGTCTAACAACTCTGTTCAGAGTCATCCTACTCGGGATGTATGACTGATTCCTTATTGGGTAGTTTTATGTGAGGAAGGAAACCAAAATAACCCAGAGAAAGCCCACAAATGTTGCGGGGACAACACGCAAAAAAAAATCAACGCAAAAATACTGACCACCGAATAGCTCTGGAAGTTGGGTGGCACGTGCACATGATGATCTCTGTCTGCTCCACCAACCCCGCTTGCAAATCACTGGAATACAGGTGTGTGACACCACACGTAGTTTAAGCTTGTTCACAGATCTCATAAAGCATTATTTACCTGCAGTAAGGGCCATCAATCAAGTCATTCATTGGCTTATGACTGCCGACGTACAGGGTGATCCATTTATATATACCTCCACGAAAATACCAGGGACAATTAATAGAGCCTCTACATGTCTCCCACCAATCTCGATATACGTATTACATAGTTTAACACCCTCCCGGTGAACGTTGCTCAGCATAGCTTCACGTTATTAAATCGCCTGTTGAGAAGAAAAAAAGTGGTCGTTAGAAATGAGTGGGGTATCTATGAATGGATATTGTTAATTTGCTGAGCGATTCTTAAGAAAATATATAGTTCAGGAAAGGAATACAGTACTAGATTAAGTAGCTATACTTCATTTGATGATGGACGCATCTTGACTCATCTTTGACTTCGAACAGCAGACCAGGATTTATTTTCTGCCACTCAGGAAGGGAAGAAGATCTGAGTGTTTCGGCACGGAATGTCTGCTCCCTGACCACGCGTTGCGTCTCACTCTCTCGGTAGATTCATTCACAGCCAAGAGGCGATGATGCCATTCTCTGTCTTTCCTGTGCGTGCCTCCTCTGTTGGCGGCGATGTGACGCCGGTTTTTGGCGACGGCCGCAGACGGACCGTCCGATATTCCCCAAACGCTGTTTGAGCAAAAAATAAGTCGGGCCACTTTTGTGACCCTGGTCGCCGCAGTGTCCCCTCTAAGCCAATCCTGTCGCGCACCCGATTACGACGGGCATCGGGGAGGTGAAATACACTTACCGATGTGCCAGTCGCGCTAATGCGCCGATTTCGCGTTACCTACGTTAACTTTTTGTGCGCGTGTGCGCGCGCGTGCGTGTGCGCATGTCTCCGTGGCCCTTCCAATTATTTCCTTGCATCAATGGAAATTTGTGTTAACGCATCACTGGGAACGCCAATTTGACCTAAGAGGGAATGCGACCGTCGTAGGCAATATAACCCCGGACGCGATAAGTAATGCACATCACCCCCGGAGCCATACCCTTCACGCTTGTGCCCATTGCACTTTGGAAAATCCCTGCGCAAAATGCATCGCTTTACTGAGCAGGAGGGGGGATATAGAAGCATTGCCCAAGCCAATGCATCTCCT